TGAAGCCACCAAGCTGACCCACGGCACAGCGCCGGCGCGCGGGAAGCGAATGGGTTGCGTTGGTTTGTAGTGTTGTTATCACCTTTGATTTGATAGTCAATCAGGTTATAACGGTGGCGCCTAGAATGCGCCATTTGTCAGTACTGCTTCCCTGGGATTGGTTGCCTTTTTTATTTTTATTTTTTTATGTTTGGGATGGCTTGCTTTCTTTTTCTTCTTCTTCGTTTTCTTCTTCTTCTTCTTTTTTTTTTTTTTAATGTTTGGGATTGGTTGCTTTTGTCCTATTGTGTATATATATATATGAAGTGTGGTATGAGTTTAAATTGGATGGATTTCTTCTAAACTTTCATCAACTACGCACATGAAAGTTTATTTAATTATTAGTACTACATAACTAGTTTTCCAACTGAACTGACTAGAAAGTCTTCATCTGTGCCCCAGCTGTTGGCCGAGAATTTTTCAGGCGATCGACGTTTACTCTTGGAATCAACTTCGGCGACGTGTGGCCGGCCGTCGCCGGAGATGACACCGAGAGAGTTCCGACCTCCACGGATCTAATGGGCAATGCCTGCCGGCGTATAGAAAATAGAAAGTTTAATATGCATGGGTTTACCAACAAAAAGGAGTTGGTTGGCGACACGTGATAGAGGATTATCTATGACTTGATATATCGGCTCATTCTTCTCTTTCTTTTCCCTCTTTTCCATCTGTTTCACTTTCTCAAACTTATAAAATGAGCTGTTTCTCTAAAGAGATGCATGTTGCTCTCATATAATCTAGTAAAATATTGAATGGTGAAGTTTTTCTTTTGTTTTTTAATCAGCTGTTGAAGCAAAGATTAGTAGACCACGCAGCTGCTGTAGGACCAAACATTAAAATATTCAATTACTAGCTAGCTAGTAGGACAACAAACAAATAATTTTAGCAAGAATTTTCTGAGTTTAGTATCAATTCAAACTGGCACGTTCTTTTCACGGTCCTTCGTCTGTGTTGAAACCAGCTACGCAGGTGAAGCTCCACCTTAATAGTTCAAAAGAGTGCAAAATGAATCGCACTTTTGTTTTTTTGTAATATTTAATTTGTCTTTAACTTTCTATTGTTTGTGCCCAAAAGCGCCAAAAAAAAAAAAAAATTTCTATGTGTTGTTGCTGCATTGCAATTAAGCAAGGGAATTGCAATTCATGTTCCAAAAATCAATATATATTAACATTTTTAATCAAGTGTATCATCACATACCTGTATTGATTTTAAAGACACTATTTAATTAATTTATGCAAGGTTTTTCTATCTATATATATTCTTTTAAGTCATCAGAAATCACTATAAAAGGATAAAAAAAAAACTTTGAAATTAATCTGCTCGATCA